TGGCTGAGGGGTTTGGGCTGTGCTGGGCACTGTGCCTGCTCCAGCACGGGGTGCTGTAGAGTCACAGCGGGTTTGGGTTGGAAGGACTTTGAGGATCGTTAGTTCCCGTTCAGAAGGGTCCTACCTGTTGCTGCACAGGGAATTCATCCTCCTGCTCCCAGTCACTGCACTTGCCAGGACTGTTCTCTGTCCTGAGAAGTACTGGCTGGGGGCAGAGGATGTGGCTGTGCTGATCAGGCAGTACTGTGGGATGGAGGGTTCTGTGCCGCTCCATTCTCTCCATGCCTCAGTGTGTTTTCTCTCTTGCAGTCGACCTGTTACAGATGCTGGAGATGAACATGACCATTGCGTTCCCTGCTGCTCCACTCCTCACTGTCATCCTGGCTCTGGTCGGTAAGGACTTGCCTCACTGCTTGTGTCTGCAGCACATCCCTCTGGGATATGTGGGAAGTCTAATTTCCTGTTCCAAGCTGGCCACGGCAGGTGGTTACTGTGGCTGCTCATCACAAGGCAGAAGGCTCTGGAATTTGATGGCACAGTGAGCTCCATTGTCCTTCTGGGTCCCCTGGAAAAGCAGCGGTTTGTTGGGAAATCCCAGAATCCGAAGCTTTGTCTGTCCCTGGAGCTCGTTGCAGACTTACACTCTGTGGCTGCATTGCATTTGTACAATTTTAATCCAACAAGACCTCCCAAAATCTGCGCTGCATGGTGCAGCTGATCTGTGGGACATGGCAGGCAGAACATTCTTGCAGCTGCCATAAGCAGAGCCCAGTTACCTGCCCTGGGCAGGTGCAGTCACAGCCCTACTCTTGAGGTGACAGAGGACCTCTTCCCATGCCCTGCCACGTGCCGATGTCCTCTCTGCCCCCAGGTATGGAGGCCATAATGTCTGAGTTCTTCAATGACACCACAACTGCATTCTACATCATCCTCATCGTGTGGCTGGCGGACCAGTACGACGCGATCTGCTGCCACACCAACACCAGCAAGAGGCACTGGCTCAGGTAGGGGCTGCCTGTGGCCACATTCCTTCTGCAGGTCCTCCCCCAGCTGCTCTGAGTCCTTCCCAGCACCCCCAGGCACAGCAGCCTCCACTCCTAAGGGTATTATCTGTGAGGCAGCTTGGGAGCTGCCCCACATGTCACAGGGCCCAAAGTGCAATTTCTCCACTTCGGGTTTGGGCCTCAATTACCCTTGATCTTCCCCAGCCTCTTTTCTGTCCTGTTCATAGACAGACAGCTCTAATTGTCTGTTAATGAGTCTGTGTCACCCTGTGCAAAGTGCCCCAGCTCAGGCTGGTGCTGGGGGGAGAAGGAAGCTCCCATTTTTCCTGTTTTTTCATGTCTTCTTGTTCAGATTCTTCTACTTGTACCACTTTGCCTTCTACGCCTACCACTACCGCTTCAACGGGCAGTATAGCAGCCTGGCACTTGTCACCTCCTGGCTCTTCATCCAGGTGAGTCCCTTGAAGGACTGCTGCACCTGTGGGGACTTGGTCAAACCTCCCCTCGAGCTGGGTTGGAGGAGGGATCCTTACTTCTGTGAGAGATGGAGTTACACCTAGTTTGGAAATGGAGCAGCAGAATGAGGCTGTGAAAGAGGGAATGTTTGGATGTTTGGATTGCTGCCTCCAGTCCAGCCATGGGACTGACAATAACCTGATGCCACATGGGTATTGGGAAGGATTTCCATCCTGTCCTTCTGGAATAAATCCTGGGGAGGGTCTGCCCTGCAGAGGAGCTGACAGGACCAGCTCCAAGCTGATGTGTGATATCCTGGATCAAGCATACCTGCTGGGTGTCTTTGGTTGTTGATCTGCTGCAGGGTGGGGACAGGGAATAGAGGATGGCTCAGAGGAATGCTGTCATCCTTCTTTTCCCAGTCTTTGAAAGTGAAGAGGCTCTGTTGCCTGTCTTCAGAGGGAAACTATAAAGCAGCTTGCGGCAGTCATAGTGGAAGGGATAAATCTTTCCAAACTTGCTGCTGACCTTCTGGGTGTCAGAGCAGCTGGATTCTTCAGAAGTTTGGTTTTCTTGGGATGTGGTGGCCTGTGACCCAGGCCCAGGGTGACACCTTTCCCTTTCCTCCTCCAGCACTCAATGATTTACTTCTTCCACCACTATGAGCTGCCAGCCATCCTGCAGCAGATCCGGATCCAGGAGATGCTGCTGCAGAACCAGCAGGTCGGGCAGGGCACCCAGACCACGCTGCAGGACAACCTCAACAACAACACCACGGCTGCCCCACTCGAGGCCGGGGGCCGGCGAGCCCCGCTGGCCAGCGGGCCCCCCGGGGAGGGCAGCGCTCCAGCCGCCCTGACCCCCGGCGAGGCCTCCAGCGTCATCGCCGCCGCCGCCTCCGTGGGCAGTGACCTCAACTGGGTGGCCGAGACGGCCGCGATCGTGACGGAGGCCTCGTTTCTGTCTGACCTGAGCACGACCCTCCTGGACCCCACTGTGGTGCACGAAGCCGTGGCCAACGGGACCCCTCAGGAGGCAGCCACGGCCTCCGGGTTGGTCGCCCGCATCAGGGTCAGCAGCGAGCACCCGGAGACGGCCGTGGGCTCCATCACCATCGAGGTCACCTCAACGTCCGTGGTGGCCGCAGCCGATTCTCCCCCCGCTGCTGGGGCTGCACCCCTTGCCCTGCTGCAGGAGGGGGTGGTCCCCAGCCCCTCCCTTCCCAAGCAGACTGAGGCTCTCGAGGGCTCAGACAGCCGAGCAAAACCCAGTGGCAAAAACTGCACGGGCAGCAGCAGCATGGCAGAGCCCCTGGCAGCCTCGGGGGGGGACAGTGACCAGGACAGAGGTTTGGAGGACCGGGGGGAGAGCAGCCCCTGCCCAGCACCATCAGAGAGAACGCCCAGCTCAGAGCCAAGCTCCAGGAACCTGTCCTGAGCCCCGTTGCTGTCACTCTGGACTGCTGGGGAGGCGTTTGGATTTTGTTTGTTTCTATTTCTCACTTCACCATCATCCTTAACCCATGGATCCCTCTGAGCAGAGCCAGAGCAGCTGGGACAGAGCAGAGCTGCAGTGACCTCCCTCCCCTAGGAAAGGCACAGGGAGTTGTGGGAAGCATGGGGGGGTTTGGTCCCCTGGCCCACACGGCTCTGGGGCTCCTCTGAGACCACAGGTGAGCCAGCCACCTGTTCCCACCCTGCCCTGCTTGTACCCTGCCTTTTCCTTGTCCCCAATCCCTGGCTTTGCAGCTGTGTTTGCAGTCCAGGTGCTGATCCCAGGTGGGAGCTGACCTGGGGCAGGCCACAGGCCTGGCAGCTTTGTGGTTAGAGTAGGAGCGGATAGAGCAGGCAGAGTGTCCAGCCACTGTGGGAGAGCCACAGAGGTCATTCCTGGTCACCTTTCCTGCTCCTGAGGGGAGGAGGAGATTTTTCCTTCCCCAGGCACAGAGTTTGCCCAGGCCAGGGCACAACCAAAGCAGAAAGCTGCAGTTCAGCCCCATTTTTTTCTGTCCTTAAACTTGCCTTGGCGGGTGGAAGGTGCTGTGTCCAGGTGGGAGCTGCCATCCCAGGAGCCATGAGTGATGCTTGGAGGGAGCTGTGCTGCAGTGGGTGTGTGGGGCAAGGGCAGTAGCTCTGTCCTGCACAGCTCTGCTCTGGGTGAGGCAGCTGCTTTCCAGTGCCTTGTCCCTCCTGTGGGACACGTCTGTGTTTAGGATCAGCCCCATCCCAGAGGAGAGAGTGGCTCCTCATGCCTGGACTGTTGCATGAGCTGGTTTAGCAAAAAACCAAAACACTAAAGCCAAGACATTTCAGGTTTTCCCATGTTTGCCTGGCATGGAAACCTCACCAGGAGGTGAGGCTGGCAGAGCCTGACCCCTCTACCAAGAGGCTGAGCTGTGGACCCCTGCAGAGGGGCCGGATTTATGCCAGGATGTGCTGGAAGGAGGGTTTGTGCAGGGAGGTGGAGCAGAGGTAGGCAGGATGAAGCTCTGGGAGAACCATGGGTGGTTCTCCCTGTCCCATGGGACAGGGCAGGGACAGGAGGTGACACGTGGGCACTTAGCTCTTGGGGACAGCTGGGTCCCTGCACAGATGTCCCCAAATTCAGTGTTGTCCCCCTATGGCTGAGCAGTGTCTGGAGTCCATCTCCTCTGGGGGGCTCTGTGTGTTTCAGTGTTACCTTGTCAACACGGGGGGGGCTCAGACCCCCCTCTTCACCCCTCTGCCTTTCCCACCTGGGTGCCCCCTTCTTGTTTTTCCTTTTCATCTGGAGCAGCCGTGGTGCTGCTCCAGGCCAGGGGGACTCTGCTGTGACCAGCAGGTCAAATCTTGCTGCTGCCAGCACTCCTGAGAAGGGGCCTTGTGGCCAGCTGGCTCCCAGCCTCTGGGGCGCCGGGAATGACCGTAGGCTTCTCAGAGGAGTGGGTGGGAGGGGAAGGGGGGGACACCAAACCAAATGATTTGATGAATGAAGAGTAGAGTTCATTCTATTTAATTAATGTACAAAATGTGTTTGTATATAATAATAAATATTATCTCTTAACAGCTGCTGGAGCGCTGCCCCATGTCCTGCCCGTGGCTGTGCTGGGCTGATGTGTGGGAGTCCTGGGGGCAGGGAGGTGCAGCGAGGTGAATGCTCAGTCCTGGGGGTGCCTCCTCCTGCCTCCCTGGCGTGTCACCATCTGTCCCCTTGCAGTGTGCAGGGGTGGTGGCAGGGCAGAGGGCAGAGCCCGTGCCCAGCCATGCTCGGTGCTGCTGGGCAGCCTCCGTGCCAGGGGAGGGGCTGCAGGGCTCCGGCTCCTTCCACAGCCGCCTGTAGTGGGATGGGGAAGCTGTTCCTTATCCTCAGGGGCGGGCAGAGCCCTGAGCCGCTCCCCGTGCTCCATCCCTCACCCTCCGCCCGAGGAAGGCTTCGGCTCTGCTTGGCGGTGGCTCTGGGATCAGCCCGGTTTTGCTGCCCTGGAGCTCCAGAGGGAGGTTCCGGTCTCGGTCTGTCCTCCTGCCCCATCCATGTGGGAGCTTCCTCTGCCTCCTCCTCCTCCTAATCGCGGCCGTCCTGCGGCGGGGCTGAGCTGGGCCTGCGGAGGAAGGAGGGGAAAGGGAAGGGTGACTCTCAGCCGGCCCTGGCTGCATCTGGGGAAGAGGAAAAGCAGACTTTGTCTTCCTTTGTCATCTTTATTTATGTGGTCTAAAACCAGAGCGGGGCTGAGCTTTGTCCAGGCATCGTGGGGACCTCTCACCCCAGCTCAACCTCCCTAAAAGAACCTCCCGGTCCTTCAAACCCCCACTGCCAGCAGAAGGGACGGGGGGAAGAGACAAAGGCCGCAGAGCTGGGGCAGCCAGGACATCCCCCCCTCCCTTTTCTCCTTCCACTCCTTCTTCTGAGCCGGAGGAGCCGCCCTGCCCCGCCCCGGCAGAGCAGCCTGTCCTGGGGTGGTTGGGGGTCCCTGCCCGCCACCTCACCTCTCCTCCCGGCCTTCCTCGGTGGCCAGCGGGGCGGGCAGGGGCCGGCCGCCCTTGGTGGTGCCCAGCACGGACACCAGCTCGCTCTTCCTCAGCAGCGCCGCTCGCAGCTGGTCCCGCATCTCCTGGATCTTCTCCTCCAGCTCCCGGAGCTCGTTCTCACCGGCCGCTCTGTCCAGGGGCTGCGGGGGCCGCCCGTTCCCGGGGTGCCACGGGGAGCCCTCAGCCTCGGGGGGGTTTTTGTCCAGCTGGAAGCGCACCCGCCGTGCCTCCTTCCGCAGGGCGCTCCAGGGCTGCGCTGCCGCCGGGGCGGAGCTCGGCTGGGGCTCGCACCTGTGTGGGGAGGGCTGGATTGGGATCTGGCTGCTGTGGGGTCCCTCTGCAGCCCCCCAGAACTCTGACTGTCCACAGGGAGGAGGAGGAAGGCGGGGCAGGCTCCCGGTCCCAGCTGTACCTCTGCTCCAGCTTCAGCTGCTGGCTCTTCCGCTCCTCCGTGCCCATATTCAGAGCCCGATGGATTTTCTGTGGGGAACACGGCAGGAGTGAGTCGGGGCACGGTGACCAGGGATTAATTGGAGGGTGATGGTCTGGAGATGATGGTCTGGAGGTGATGGTCTGGAGGTGAAGGTCTGGAGGTGATGGTCTGGAGATGATGGTCTGGAGGTGATGGTCTGGAGATGATGGTCTGGAGGTGATGGTGCAGGGCTTGGTGGACCGGGGCCGGAGCAGGGCAGAAGCGGTGCAGTTTAAGAGGGAGCAGCGACATGGGGTTAGGGGTATTTGGGGCGCTGTGTGAGCCCCTTCCCCCGGCCCCACCTGGCTCGTGTGCAGCCAGTAGTTGAATTTCTTCTTGCGCCGGATGCGGGGCAGGACGAGGCGGTAGAAGACGTGCTCGCCCAGCGAGGTGAGGAGGGAGCCGCTCAGCCCGATGCACAGCAGCACGAACAGCCCCGAGAAGTGGTAGATGCCCATCTGCAGGGTCTGTGGGCAGCAGGGGGTGTGGGCTGGGCTGCGGGGGGTGTCAGACCCCAGAGCCCCCCCGGCCCAGGGGCTGCCGCACCTCAGTGACGGCGAAGACGCGTTTGCCGCAGGGCACCATCTTGTACCACTTGTCGTGCAGGAGGTCGATGAACCCCGAGGACTTGTAGCGGCTGATGAACTCGGAGATGTTGGAGGTCAGCGGTGAGTTCTGGGGGAGGCCGATGCCGTAGCCTGGCCCCGGTGAGGGGGGGAGAGAGAGCTGGGACTGGGGGTACAGCCCCCAGTGGGTGCGGCAGGGCACGACCCCAGCCTGATCACACACACAGCAGAGCCCCCCTCCCACCGCAGCCCCCCCAAACCTTCAATGGCAAAGGGCTTGCCCACAGTGAGCAGTTTGCAGTCGGAGTCGATGGAGACCTCATAATCCAGCAGCGACTTGTCCATGATGAAGGCGTTGAGCTTGGCGGGCTCTGTCCTGTACCAGCATGGGGGGGATGCTCAGGGAGGGGCTGCTCCCCCCTTCCCTGGCGTCTCCCCAGCCTGACACCTCTCCCACAGGTTGGGGGCTCGTGTGCGTGGAGTGGGGGCTGCACAGGCTCCAGGGCTGGGGCAAAAGATGCCCTGAGAGGGGTAAAAGGTGAGGTGGGGCCCTCATGCTCTCCCTGCCCCTCACTTGAGCATGGTGACGCCGTCAGGGGTGGTGGGGACGTTGTAGCGCCGCATGTACTCGTGCATCTCGGGGAAGCTCTTCTTGATGTACTCCTCAGCACTGCTCTCCCACACCGTGCCGAAGCGGAAGCCCTGTGAGGGGTGATGGAGCTGGAAGGAGGCACCAGAGCATCAGCACCCCTGGCCCCAGGAATGTGTCCCCACTCCCTGGGGCTGTGTCCCCAGCCCTGAGTCCCAGGCAGGGTGTCTGGGCAGCCCCAGAGGTGCAGCAGCTCTTGAGGGTGTCTGGGAAAGAGCTTCCCCAAGAGCAGCCTCAGCACAAACTCAGCCCACTTCCCCCTGCCCTGGAGCTGAGGCTGGGATTAAGCACCAGTGGGATACACACATAAAGCTTTCTGCAGGTCTCAATGATCCCCCCACTCTTAGGAGGGGCCAAGATGCAGAACTGGGGCTGGAGAGAAGGAGGAAGGTGCAGAAGGAAGGACAGGACCCCCCTCAGCCCCTTCCCTGGCCTTCAGCCCTCTCCCAGCCCATCTGAAGCAGCTGGACACTCGCCCACCTTTGGGTCGTGGATGCCTGAGAGCTCCTCGAAGGTCTTGTCCCCCACCATGACAGCTGCCAGGTTGGCCGTGTAGCTGGAGAGCACCAGGAGGCAGAAGATGGCCCAGAGGTTCATGAGGAAGCGGCCGGTGCAGCACTTGGGCGTCTTGCTGGAGACAGTGCGCCCAAAGAGGATGGCGTAGCAGAGGTTGAGGGCTGAGGAGTAGGAGAAGATCTTCATGCGGTTGCGGCCGTGGGGGGTCATTCCATAGGGGCTCTTCCACTCGTAGAGGGTGAGGAAGAGTGCGGTCATGTGCAGCGCCACGAAGATGCCCACCCACATGGTCCAGTGCAGGGGCCACATGAAGGCCCCGATGGGCGACGCCGTGTCCTTCGTCCTCACCAGGATGCCCAGGCTGGTGGAGAAGAAGGGGCTGGTGAAGTCGATGACTTTGCTCCGCACTGAGTTGATGCTGAAGGAGGTGACGGCCATGTGGGCTGTGCCACTGAGCAGGTCCCCTACCAGTCCTGTCCAGCGCCCATTCTTCCAGGCCCCATATTTCCCATCGCCCACGATGTAGAGCTCAAAATCAAAGGCCATGTCCTCAGCCAGCTTCTCGAGCAGGTCGATGCAGTACCCATAGCAGCACTTCTTGTACGCGCGTGGCACCGAGCCGTTGCCATCGCCAATCTTCTCAAAGAGGGCGTCCAGCACGGCCGAGTCATTTGTGCCGGGGTCCAGGCAGAGCTGCCCAGCCGGGCAGTTCCCTTCCTCATCCACCTCCCTGGTGAAGACGAAGGGGTGCTCCACCAGCGTCACCACCCGCAGCCGTGTGCGGGCCCCCTCGGCCGCCTCGCTGGGGCTCATGCGCTGCCGCTGGCTCTGCCACACGCTCTCCTCCAGCTCCAGCTTGCCGTGGCTCCAGGTGCCCACTGTCATCCAGGTGGGGACACCCTGCGAGTCCCTGCGCAGACTCCAGACGCGGAACTGCTGCTCCGGCCTCACCAGTGTTGTGTTCTCCACACGCACCAGCCCCGTCTGGCCGTGGAAGGATGTGTTGGCCAGGAACCTGCCAAGAAAAGGGTTTCACTGCTCCACTTGGTCGGCTGGGACCAAGGGATAAGGCTGGGAGCTGGGAGCAGGATGTGCCCGACCCGGGCGGGGACAAGGTCAAGGAGGAGCAGCAGGATCCAGCCCTGCTGCGCTGCCCCGCAGCTCACTGTGCTGCCAGGGCCAAGTGTTATTAATATTTATAGAGTGACGATGCTGGGGCAGTGTTAAGGAGATCTGAAGTGACACGTCCCCACTGTGCAGCGCTAACCATGTCCTGGGGGGCTGAGCCCCATGGTGGTGGCTGCACACACGGGACAGCACTGCACTGAGCCCAGGGGTGCCCTGGCTCTGCCCCTACCCCATCCCAGGTCTGGGCAGACCCCTCCCCTGCACCCCAATACCACCAGGATGGGGGGAAAGAGGAGCCCCCAGCACCCCCTTACCGGGCAAGGAAGAGCCCCGGGGACTCGCCGCCTGCCCGGTGCCTCTCATTGCAGCTGCCCGTGGTCTGCAGCTGTGCGGGGTCGGGGCGGCCGTGGGCAGCGTGGGCAATGGCCTGGGACACCAGTCCCACCATGTCCTGCACAAAGAGCTCCAGCGGTGGCCGGCTGAGCTCCCCAAAGGCCAGCAGCCCTGGGGGCAGGCCCTCGGTCTGCAGCTCGCTGGCGCTGAGCGGGAAGCCCAGCATCCAGTGGAATTCCTGCGGTGGCAGCCCCAACTCCTCGGCCACCTGGAAGACGAGTCGAGCACGGTGCAGGTCACAGCCCAGCATCAGCACTGGGCTGGAGAGGGTCCTGACACGGTCCCCGTGCTGCCTCAGGTAGCGGGTGGCCCTTGGCTCATCCAGGTAGCCCACGTCCAGGATAGTGTGGAGGAAGAACTGGGAACGTTGGGCCCAGAGGTCGAGGAAGCCGTCGACATCCCAGGGGTGGCAGAGCACCAGGCTGGGCTCCTGCCAGTTGTTGGCCTGCAGGACGCTCACCAGCACATCCACCAGCGTCTCTGGTGAGCTCTGCCGGTCCATGTGGAAGTGGAAGGGGCTCTGCCAACACACAAGGGTCATGGCACTGCCCCTGCCCATGGGAAGAGCTCAGAGGCAGTGCCAGATGTGAACCCACCTGCCCTGAGGTCATCCCATACTCCCTGCCCACCCTCTGCCCAGTTCCTGTCTGGGATTCACTGCCAGGACTCATCCCAGAGCCCTTCTGGAGACAGGGACTGAGGCTGGGGTCTGGGGCTGAGGGCTGCAGAGCTTCCAGAGAAACCAGGGAACTTACCTTGGAGTGAAAGCTGGGATTGGGTCTGGGATAGAGCCAGGCAAGGGGCCAGGACAGAGCTGAGATGGGAGCTGGGATAGAGCCAGGATAGGGCTGGAATGAGGGCCAAGAGGGGGCTGGAATAAAGCTGTGATGGGAGACAGAGAGCCAGGATGGGGCACAGGATGAGGCTGGGGTAGAGGCAGGATGGAGGTGGGAATGAGGATGGGATGGGATCAGGGTGGGAGAGAAGACAGAGGGAGAACAGAGTCGGGTTGGAGCGGAGGTAGTCAAGATGCAGCAAGGATGAGTGGCTGGGATTCGGAATTGGAGCTGGAATCAGAGCCGGGATCGGAATCGGAGGCAGGTCCGAGCCGGGAGGAGGACCCACGGAACAGGTACGGAGTCACGACGGGGATCGGGATAGAGCCGGTGTGGATCCGGGACTGGGATCAGGACAGGAGCACGGACGGAGCCGGGACGGGAGCAAGGACGGAACTGGCGAGCGGGGACGAGAGCGGGGACGGGAGCGGGGACGGGAGCGGGGAAGGGAGCGCAGTGCCGGCGCTGCGGGTCTCACCTGCGCTCGGAAAGGCAGCGGCCAGCGGGTGTCCAGGATGCTG